TCTCTCTCTCTCTCTCTCTCTCTCTCTCTCTCTCTCTTTCCCCTTGTTATTATGTTTCTTAGCTTCGCTGACGTGTCCGAAAGTAGCAAGAAATACAACTCTCCTCTCCTATCTTCCCGAACACGTGAACTATATCTAAGCCTTATGTTTCCTAATCTTCCTTCGGGTCTTCCCCAGCTCGAGGCTGCTGCGAATCGTTTGCAATCCGATCGAACGTTCGGATATTCGTACCGATTCCCGATAAAAGCGACCACCAGGTCGAGTGATGATAACAATGGCGATTTTTAAAGCTTTGTAAAATGATCTTGGCTCGATCTCGTTCCGTCGCGTCGAACAGCCCGAAGGAAGAAGCACGGTATTACGTTTTTTAAGTGTAGACTACATCGACATCCAGTTATAAAAACCGACAACCGAGTTTAAAAAGTCGTTCAGTCAGTGGATTACGTTCTTACATTACGTCTTATCAACACGGATACGATTACATACATGCACATATACATATATATAGATTCTTTTTTTTTTTTGAAATTTTCTTTTTTTTTTACGCCTTTTTTACTTTTTTTTCTTTTTCGTCAAACTTCCACGTCGTTATAATCGGCAGTAAAAGGTTAAAAACGAAGGGCGATCGACCCGATTCGTCAACGATTCGTCACGATGTGTATAATTATGTATACAAGATGATAGAAAAACACGTATAGAAGATGGATCAAAGGTGGTCGCAGGCAGTTATCGTTTCCGTATCACGTGAATTAGCAATTAGGCTGACTTAGCAAATGCGTACAGGTGTATGTAAGAATTCTACGTGTGTGAGAGAACAGTCTTCCGGATTGGTTAGATTCAGTAGAAAAAATGATCGCGCGGCAAAGGAACTCGTGGAATAAACGACAGCGTCGAATTTTTTATTTCTTCTTTTCCTTTCTCTTTTTTCGTTTTTTCTCTTCTTCTCTGTATCGCAATAAAAAAAAAAAAAAAAAGAAAAAACATCTCGCTTGATTGCACGAATCTGAACAACGTTACTTTAAAAGCGGGCTCGATCGACGTTGATACATCAAGGTCGGCCCTGATTAGAACCGCGATTAGAAATTAATCTCATTAATTATCGAACGCTTCAGATTGTCGTCGCCGTAGCTTGTTCTTTGTCACACAACGAAAACGTCGCGACGAAGAAAACGTCCACGCAGG